CCCATATAGTAAGTCCCCCATATAGTAATTCATCCCCCATATAGTAAGTCCCCCATATAGTAATTCATTCCCCATATAGTAAGTCCTCCATATAGTAATTAATTCCCCATATAGTAAGTCCCCCATATAGTAATTAATTCCCCATATAGTAAGTCCCCCATATAGTAATTCATTCCCCATATAGTAAGTCCTCCATATAGTAATTAATTCCCCATATAGTAAGTCCCCCATATAGTAATTCATTCCCCATATAGTAATTCATTCCCCATATAGTAAGTCCCCCATATAGTAAGTCCCCCATATAGTAATTCATCCCCCATATAGTAAGTCCCCCATATAGTAAGTCCCCCCTGTGTCAATTCACTTACCTTTGGTCCGCGCGTTCCTCTCGTATTCCCGCGCCGTTCTGGTCTTCAGGGAGGACTGTGAGAGGAGTTCGTCACGCTGCCCCGCCTACATCCTGGCTGCCCCGCCTACATCCTGACAGCTGCAGAGTCCTGACGTCCGAGAGGAGGGAGGGGGGCGGCCATCCGAGAGGAGAGGAGGGGAGAGGAGGAGAGGAGGGAGGGGAGAGGAGGAGAGGAGGGAGGGGAGCGGGCGCCCGGCACACAGGAGAGCCGCATCTAAATTTGTAAAGAGCCGCGGCTTGCCGACCACTGGCCTTGCGGGAGCCTAGCTCCGCGGGCCGGATTAAAAGGTCCGCCGGGCCGTATACGGCCCGCGGGCCGTAGTTTGCCCATTGCTGGTCTAGACAGTGCTGACTGGCCCTGTACTGATCATATGCACCCCCCCCCCAAAAAAAACCTCTCTAGCAATACACACCAATCTGAGCATGTGCAGAGTGACTCCACACAATATGTCTCATCAGGAGATAAGAGGAGGGCACTGGAAGGAGGGCAGGATTAGGGAGGCACTGGAAGAAGGGGAGGATCAGAGAAGTCAGGATCGAACAACCTTTTTACATAATTCAGAGGATTAACCCCTTAGGTTCCACAGTGAGTATAACAAGCATGCTTTACTGCATATACAGACTGATTTTACTGTTGTGGGTTTAGTAACACTTTGTGTCCCATACGGAGGAAACACATTAGGGATGGGTGGTTCTCAGGCAGGTACTTCCAGCATGTTAGCTCTTCATGAAAAACTTTTTTCAGCAAAAGCAATGTCATAAGAGTGCCAAATGCACCATCACTTTACCAAGCAAAGGGCAGCAGAGACTGAAGAAAATAATATTTAGAGTAGTGTCTTTTGTTTAGATCCTACAACTATGTGGAAATCTAATTACTTAAATATCATACAAACTTTAAACACCCTAATGTAATTTCAAAAGTAATTCATTATTTTTACATCTGTAGCTTTCAGTAATGAAATACCTGGTAATCCTGCTATGGAGGTTTTTGTTCAGGCACTTCTTATTATGGGGTGAAAATAAATCTGTCCCTGTCTCCCAGTTGTGTGTTGCATTATCAGCTTGTCAGGTCAGCTTTGGAGTGGCTATTTCAATGCACATTTTATAGACATGGCCCGTTGGTGCTATCTTCATGAAATTTGCCTGCTACACTCCCTGCTGACACCACCAACTGTGGAAGGGAGTTACTCTTCCTTACCACTCTAAAAGCAAAGAACCCCTCATGCAGTTTAACATTGAACTGCTTCTCGTCTAACTTCATTTTGTGACTGTGTCCCCTCTTTAGACACCTTAGATTAAATAAGTTTCCTCCCAATGCCAGAACCACCATTAGTATATCACAAACGTATCCCCTTTTAGGCTTCTCTGCTCCAGGGAGAATAATCTGATGCTTATCAATGTTCCTCATAACTGAGGTCTGCCAGCCCCATTATTAGCTTTGTTTCTCTGCTCCAGACTCTCTCCAGTTCAAGCACATCCTTCCTGAGGATTGGGGGCCAACATTGGACAGCATCCTCAAGATGTGGCCAAACCAGAGTTTTTTGAAAAGTGGTAGAATTATAGTTTTATCTCTTGAGGAAATACCCTTTTAATGCTTGTGAATGACCTGCTAGCCTTGCTTGCTGTAGTTTGGCATTGCTTGCTTTTGCTGAGTTGATCTGCTAGGTCCCCCAGATTATTTTCCATCCTCTATTCCCCAGAGGTTTTTACCCTAGTGAGTAAACTGCATCTATATATTTAGCTCCCAAGTGCATTATTTTACATTTTTCAATATTAGGCTCATTCACACTAGAATGTCGTGCGGTAAACCCGTGTTCCTCCCTATAGAAACCAATTTTTCCCAGCACCGAAGATGGCCAACAAGCCTGGAACAGCTATTTTTTGTTTGGAATAAATATCTCTGTGATACTGGGCTGTATCTGTATCAGCAACTCTGGATGTACAGTTGGCCATTGAAGCACCTAGAAATAATTGTCACACCTCTGTCCATTTATTCTCAAGTGAGGAATAATCCTCTTGTTTTTGGGATATGTGCTAAAATGAAACGTGCAGAGCTTTTTGATTTTAGTTCATTTTCTCCATCACATTCAGAATTTTTCCTTTTCAATGTTAACATACAAATTAAACACACTGTATGTATGGGCTACCAAATGGCAACTAATAGATACAATAACATACATCAATACATCACACCATGACTGGGTCAGTCACATTGCTAAAGAAGAAAAGTGTGAGACTGGCCTAATATTAAAAAAGAATAAAAAGACAAAAAAGGAAAATGTGTGTGATGTTCATTATTTTTCTTGTCCAGGTTGGAAATTGAAAACTTTTCCCCAAATGGTTGTCATTAAATAAACTTCACTGTTCAGAACATTGCCAAATTCCTTTGGAATAACCTTTATAACGGTAACAGAAAACACTCTCGACAATCCCTTTAGCGTTCCTCCTTCACTTGTGTCTACAGGCACAATGCGCTATTGTGTAAAATCAATTTTCATATAAACACGCCACTTGAAATATTGTGTAAATCATAAAATGAACTGAATAAAAATAAACCAAGGAAAAATGGACACTTTCAGGCATCTGTTATTTATTTTTTGGTTAGCAGATCATTACATTTTGGGGCAGGCATTTTTTGTTTGAGTTCTGGAACATCTTAAATACCTTCAAGCAGCATGCTGAGCACAGCACTGAAACAAAGCTGCCATTTCTAATACATAGACTGTCTTCTAGGGTTTTTCAAGGTATGCTGCTTCACAAAGGTTATATTGTATAGAGTTTCTTAATTATGCTGAGTAAGATTTTTTTTTTAGCTGATCCTTTAAAAAAAAAATATATGATCTCCGTAAAACTAATAACTAAACATTACTGATAGGTTCATGTGTATTGTATGTATATATGAGGGCCCCTAAACAAGAATACTTACATAGTAACATAGCTTCAACCATATTGTATTACTAAAAAGGTTTGTAGTGGAACTTAGCTGACTTGTACTTTAATAACTTGAAGACTGGCACGTTAACCACTTGAGCTCCAGAAGATTTTACCTCCTTCATAACCAGACTATTTTTTGCTATTTGGCACTGCGCTACTTTAACCGGTGATTGTGCAGTCATGCAACACTGTACCCAAAGGGAATTGATATCATTTTTCACACAAACAGAGCTTCCTTTTATTGGTATTTGATCACCACTGGGTTTTTTTTGCTCTATAAACAAAAAAAGACCAAACATTTTGAAGAAAATACAATATTTTTTACTTTTGTGCTCTAATACATATCCAATAAAAAAAAAAATCAAATGTCTTCATAAATTGTGGGCAAAATGTATTCTGCTACATGTTTTTGATTACAAAAATTCCAATAAGTGTACATTGATTGTTTGCGTGAAAATTATAGTGCCTACAAACTATTTGCATATATACTAGATTTTTTTTTTTCAACCTGTAATAGCTGCGATCAGCGACTTATAATGGGACTGCGATACAGTGGTGGGCAATCTGACACTAACTAACTGATGCTGGGGGAACTGACTGACACTGACATCACCAGTGACATTAATTCAGTGATAATACTATACACTGTCACTGTACTAATGACACTGGCTGAGAAAGGGGTTAACATCTATGGCAATCAAGGGGTTAAATATGTGCCCAACTATGCGTAATGTATGTACAGTGTGCTGCTTTTAATAACTGATCTGTTTTTGGTCTTGCTGACAGGCTCCCGCTGTGCGCAATCACAGCAGGTGCTGGGCGGGGTTGTGCCCCCTAAACCGGGAAGTAGGCAGTGATGTACCAGTACATCACCTTGCCTGCAGTACAGTGCAGGCAGGTGATCAGCAAGTGGTTATACCCCCTTCCTGTTGAGGCCATTGTTCAGGGTTTAGCACTGATATCTTGACTCCCAAAGTATGGTCATGTAACACTGCACTCTTGAAATAAATTTTATATATTTTCTTTGGAGACCGATAGATCTTTATTTCGGTGGTATTTAATTACCACTGGGTTTTTTATTTTTTACTTTGTAAGGGAAAAATGCAGAAGATTCTGGGGCAAAAAAAATGGTTGCTCTTCATTTCATGATAAAAGTTTACAAATAATTTTTCTTCATACATTCACTCAATTGTATTCTGAGACATTTCTTTGGTAAAAAAAAACCCCAAACAAATCAGTGTACATAAAAACACAGAAAAAAATTGTGCGTTTAGTGCAAAAGAAGTAATGCAACAATCTCTGTTTTGAATACAAGGGAATACAAAAATAATTAGTCTAAAAGGTGTGCAAAACCAATATATCTACTAGTAAAAATGTATGAAAAAATAAACTTAATCCATATTAATCTCTTTCCGCCACTGTCTCCCAGCCTTTTAAGAGGTTCTAAATGCTGGTAGGCAGAAGCGGGCATTTCAATCATCTTAATCTCAGGTAGGTATCAGGAGCTTTGCGGCACCTGCCAGTAACCGTGTTAGAAGCATGCAAGGTGCGTGCTCTCAGCACAGAAATGTTTACATTTGGCATGCATATATGCTGCCTCTCAGCGTTAAAGCTCACCTGCCGATAGGGTGCATATATACTATATTGCCAAAAGTATTGTGACACCTCTCCAAATCATTAGATGCAGGTGTTCCAATGGCCTCCATGGCCACTGGTGTATAAAATCAAGCACCTAGGCATGCAGACTGCTTCTACAAACATTTGTGAAAGAATGGGTCGCTCTCAGGAGCTCAGTGAATTCAAGCCTGGTACCGTGGTAGGTTGCCACCTGTGCAATAAGTCTATCTGTGAAATATTTAGTAGAAAGGACATTTCACAGTCAACTGTTAATGGTATTATAACAAAGTGGAAGCAACTGGGTACAACAGCAACTCAGCCATAAAGTGGTTGGCCACGTAAAATAATAACAGCGTGTGGTCAGCGCATGCTGAAGCGCACAACGTGCAGAAGTCACCAACTGTCTGCAGAGGCAGTAGCTAAAAACCTCCAAACTTCATGTGGCCTTCAGATTAGCACAACAACAGTGCGTAGAGAGCTTCATGGAATGGGTTTCCATGGCTGAGCAGTTGCATCCAAACCTTACATCACCAAGTGCAACACAAAGCATCGGGTGCAGTGGTGTAAAGCACTCCGCCACTGGACTCTAGAGCAGTGGAGATATATTTTATGGAGTGACTAATCACGCTTCTCTGGCAATCTGATTTATGTGTCTGGGTTTAGGGGTTGCCAGGAGAACGGTAGTTGCCTGACAGCATTGAGATTAAGGTGCGGGGTTGTTTTTCAGGGGTTGGACTTGGCTCCTTAGTGCCAGTGAAGGGAACTCTTAAGGCATCAGCATATCAAGACATTTTGGATAATTTCATGCTCCCAACATAGTGGGAACAATTTGGGGATGGCTTCTACCTGTTTCAACATGACTACACACCAGTGCACAAAGCACGATCCATAAAGACATGGATAAGCGAGTTTGAGGTGGAGGAATTTGACTGGCATGCACCATGAGTCATGACCTCAACCCGATAGAATGCCTTTGGGATGAATTAGAGCAGAGACTGCAAGCCAGGCCTACTCATCCAACATCAGTGCCTGACCTCATAAATGCACTTCTGGAAGAATGGTCAAACATTCCCATAGACACATTCCTAAACCTTGTGGATAGCCTTCCCAAAAGAGTTATAGCTGTAAAGGGTGGGCTAACTCAATATTGAACCCTACGGACTAAGACTGGGATGCCATTAAAGTTCATGTGCATTTAAAAGCAGGTGTCCCAATACTTTTGGCAATATAGAGTATGTGTACAATCAGTGGCAAGAGGTTAAAACTTAATAAACAATGTGAATCGCATAAATGTTGAAATAATCACATAATAAATGATTAACATGTGTTTAAGAAAAGGGGTAAACTTCAAGGAAAAATATATAGAAGTCCAAATGTGAAATCTTGAAATTGGTAGGGGAACTAGCACACTTGTTGTGAGGTGGTTTGGGATTCTTCCATGTGGATTCTCATCAAACATTAAAGATGTACAAATGATAAGAGATCAACAGAGAAGAACTTATCAAATTGGGGGGCCACCACTCAAGGTACCGCTAACTCTACCACTTCCATGGTCCTTCACTGGTTATTCAAAGGCAGCACCTTAGAGTAATAATGAGTATGAGGATATATACTCACAAAGGTTACAGAGTAAAACAGATAAAAACACACCACACCAGGGATCAACAGTAGGTGTACACCCTCATATGCCACTGGCCTCAACCTAAACACATTTTGTCTGGTGCAACAAACATCTTCAGGGGATAAAGAAACTTTCTTTATCCCCCAAAGACATCCATTGCACCAGGCGAAAGGTGTTTCTAATTGAAACTAACTTCTAAGGTAGGCTAACTTTATATTTTTACAGTGACATTTGTTTAATTATTTTTCTATGTTTTCTTCATACTGTCCTTACTTTTTATTGAGGACTTGCTAGTTAATTACTTTAAATAAAAAAATGTTTGACCTCTTCCTTGTTGTTTTGGTAGATCTCAACATTCCAAAGGTTGCCTACACTGCTTTAAAGTTTTGATGTTGGCTCCGATATCATAGCTATCATAGCACAGCACTGCAATGCAAATATAAAAGGATTCCTTGGAACGAAGGCTTTTAGATGTCATGGTAATGGTCAAGCATGGCCATCTATTGAGCATGAAGCCCTCTGTTGCCCCCTCTTAAGTATATTCCTCATGAGGTATCTCAGGTTCCCAGCTAAAGAAAATATGACCTAATAAACCATCACCCACCTTAGAAACTCCATCTTCCATGCATTTCAAGGTGCAAGAATGGTAGAGATATTGCACATGTGCGTCTCCAATGGAATCTGGAGACAAAACATCCCAAGGAAAACAAGTTTGTCATTGAAACACTATATTTACGCTGCTTTGATTTTTTTGATAACAGGCTTAAAAACAAATGATATCGGTCTGCAGATAAACACTGGCTGATGTCAGCTAGTAAGAATAGAGATTGCTACATCAAGCTGACGCAAGAACCATCTCCCTTGTAGGTAAGAACTTGACCGTGTTGTAAATGTCAGACAGACTAGAATATTTTTTTCTGCAGAAATGCTACCTAATGCCATCATTACTATGATTAAAATTTTCAAGTTCATGCATGTTTATGCATAAACATGACACTTCAGATGGTTTCACCAACTTGGATGCCCCAGGACCTAGGGTCTGTCCTATATTCACAGAGCTGAGAATATTCCCAGCAACCTCAGAGAGACAGTTAATGTATCCTGTCAGATGGCCTAGTATAGCGACTGGCTGAATTCTGGCTATACAAAGAAGCTTCAGGGTGGTGGGAATCAGTAATGTATTCATTCATCCAGGCAAGGGTCAGGACAAACAGAAATTTGGAGTGCATACATTATCCACGCAAGGGTTGGGACAGGCAGCAATCATTAGCATCTCTGTTATCCAGGCAAAGGTCAGGGCAGGGGGTAATCAGTAGCATATCAGTTATCCAGGCAAGGGTCAGCAAATAGGAACAGTCAGAGGCATGACACTTGGCGTGGCTGTAGGTCCAGGAGATGGAAGTTTAATGTTAGGCACCAAGCGCAGGTCTCTTGGCTTGTGATGTTTAAAAAGAGCACCACAACCCTGATGGCAAATCAGGGCAGAGGAGGTGGAACAGGCAGCGATGAGATACTGCGTAACAACAGGGACGTCTCCCACCTTTGGTAAGTGAGAGCAGACGAGCGTTGTTGACAATGCAGGGCCAGGAAGAGAGAGTGGCTGAATGGTGGCTACAGGGAGAGAGACAGAAGGAGCATATCAAATGCTTCTAACAAATGCACAATGAAGTCCGGTAAATTTATTGGCTGTCACATTGGCGGACAAATTCTGTTTCAGTCCAGAAGAATTGATCTTATGGTACTGCTGCTCTCCTCTCCCAGATTTTGGGGAGCTATACTTAGTATAACTACTATCTCTTTCAGATAAAATTTGCAGTGTTTCGTTTGGCAAACACATGATGAATAAAGCATATGTAGCTACCCTTCCCTAAGAAGGAATGAGTGCCAAATCTAGTTGATAGTGTTGCACTCATTTCATCTTCCCCCAAGATGAATATTGCTGTTTATTCTGCCTGCTGCCAGTAAGTGCCACTAGGAGATTTATTGCCAGTGGTGCATGCTAGGTAAGGATGGAAATATATGGGCCTGACCTTGTGAGCTCTCTTCCTCTGGGTTTTGGTCTGAGGGGGGTATGTGTGCACAGGGTCCTTAATCCAGTAAAGCTTGTGGCTTAGGAGGCCTTTTCTAGTGCCATTTGCAAAGCCTTTCCAGGGTAGTCCTGCTGGATTCTCGCAAAGGATGGGTACCCTGAAATTGGAAGGTGATGCCTGGGATGGAGTACCAGAAGCGACTCTGCAATTGGAGATCCCGCGGTAGACATGTGCGTTTCATTATGATTAATTTTTTGGATGACAATTTCATTTTTGGGAGATTCTAATGTATACTAATCTCGAAATGGACATAGTAACAAATCTCAAGAAATCCAGAAAAAGTTTAATAAAACAAATACATTTGTTAATTTTTTTTTTATTTCATTCAAATGACATTAAATGATGCGATAGTAGTTTGGGCCATGGGGAAATTAAATCAATTTTTGAATTCCTTCGATAATTTGGATTCGGATAACGAATGTATCTGAATTTTGTTCCATTCATTAATTCAGATGTACATGACGCCAGTCTATTTTGTCCAATCAACTCATGCAATTTCTCTTTGTGGGTTGGACTAACATCCAAAAATATTGAATCCTTACAATTCAAATCTGTCTGATTTGATAATATATCGAATATATAGCAATCCTCTAGAAAAACTGAAAAATATTTAGAATCCATCTGCACCAACAAATATACAATCCGAATGCTGAATATACGAAATGAATCCCTAAAACGGAATGGTTCAACATACCAAATATGACGAAATGAAATTCTTCAGTAAATGAATGCATCCAAAACAAAAGAAGAATTTTCAGCATCCACATGTCTATTTTGAGGCCAAGGAACTCAAAAAGAAGCTGGAGACCCATTTTAAAGATGACTGAGGCTGCTGTGGCTGCTATAAAGGATAAAAGATGCTGGACTCAGCTTAAAGTGGTTGTAAAGGCTGGAGATTTTTACCTTCATGCATCTTCTGTGTCCTGCTCCCCCACAGTCCCCCCAATATTTACCTGAGCCCAGTCTCGATCTAGCGCTGTTCATGGTTGCCTTCGGCTCTCCCTCTGTCTCTTCTTTGGCTGAGACACACACCAGCGGAAGGCATTGGCAGTAGCATCACTAGGGTTGGTGTCACCTGGTGCGATAAAACATGGTCTCACCCCCAATAATTTTTTCCCCATACAACACTGTTTGTCCTGCCTCTGTGAAGTGACAGCAGGACAAGCAGTAGGACACTGAGCAGGCTAATGCATCGGCTTGGCTCTCCTCCCCTAGCCTGACACAGTGATTATCATATATCCCTCCATGTCTCTCAGTCTCCTTCATGTGTCTCAGTCTTCCCTTCATATCCCTCTCATATACCCCTCCATGTCTCTCAGTCCTCCTCCACGACTCTAAGTCATCCCTTCATATCCTTCTCATGTGCCCCTCCATGTCTCTCAGTCCTCCTCCTCCATGACTCTTCCCTTCATGTCCCTCTCGTATACCTTTCCATGTCTCTCAGTCCTCCTCCATATTCCTCTCATATACCCCTCCAGTGACGCTTCTGTCTCTCTCTCAGGTTTGTGCATATTTCAGATTCTCCATCATGTGACCGGCCTGCTGGCTCTGCTGCATCCATGGAGATGCATGAGGGTGGAGCTCTAGATCGGCCTTCTCTCTCCATGGTTTGTGCTACCGCCAATCATAGTAATGCACCACTCATTTTTCTGTGCAACCTGAGGAAGGTGTCTGTTGGCTGTCAGCTGCTCCTAGGGACGCTGAGTGTCCCAGTAGTCTTCCCCGTACAGGATGCAACTGTCCTTATACATGTGGCCCGGCAGACGCGGCCCAAAGGCAGGGCCTGGTGTCACCCCTCTGGTGAATGTCACTCTGGGCGCAGTCCACCCCCCCTGCACCCCCATAGCGATGCCATTGGCTATTGGGTCTCAATGCTGTTAAGTGGTAGATGGGGCTGAGTCACAACCTATATGTCTTATAGACACACAGAGCAGGTTTTAGGAGTGAACACATACATGAGTACCCCCAGAGGCTTGCTATGGGGGCATTCA